TATATTAGTTGCAAAGCTGAAGATACCTGTCAGCAAGCTCAGAGTATTTCCAAAGTTCAGATCTGAGTATTCTTCTACATCGTTAGTGTTAATATTTAAGACACTGTTATGCAGAATATTACTGGTTCTGATCATTTCAGTAACTTCTGCAAGCACTCTTTGACTATGTAAAATTCCTGTAAACCACTTCAGTTTATCGCGGTTATTCATTACGATTATTAGAAATGAAAAGTGACTTTTATTTCGTGAAGAAACTTTTCAGATTATACAGGGTGAGTTTTATTCGATGACCAGTACAGGGATCTTAGAATGGGCAAATAATTGTAGTTTTGAATGTTCTACTCGAAACCAATTTAATTTTTCTAAAATTTGACAGCTGTCAAAAGATTTGGGAAAAACTTATTTATGGTAAATTTTTAAATTACTCCTAGTTGCGTTGATATTAATTTGACAGGAAAACATTCAATAGAAAACTTGTAGGAAATTGAATTTCAAATAAAATGGCATAAGACATTTCTCCAAAATCACTGTCATTTCTGACATATGACAGAAATTTGCGTTTTTTTAAATGGCAACCATACTTGATTATTGCTTTACCGAATAGAGCATTTTATTACGATTTCTGTGATATATCACATCGTTACGATTTTTTGAAAAATAAAGTGTCTGCGAACAATTTATACTTTTTGTTAATTAACATAACATTGTTTCCATAGCAACAAATAATGACATCTTTCAATTATTGACATTCAAGTTCAAATTCAACTTAGAAATCTAAGTTAGTTTCATTGTAAAAATGAATCATCCCAATCAAGAAATGCGCTACATGATTGAAACCTACATTAGATGTGATAAAAATGCTAGACGATCCTCTGATTACTATTTTGAGATGTATTTTGACCCTCGTCAACCGTGAAAATTTGGGCACTTATGGAAGTTTTACGCAGCCAAGAAATAAAGATAAAGTAATACATGAAGCTGTGGAGATTAATGTCTTGACCATTGTAAGCCAGAATCCACATATTTCAACCAGAGAGATAGCAGCAGAATTCAGGACTTCCCGAAGCACCGTGATGAGAGTTTTAAAAAAATACAAATTCCATCCGTATAAATTATTAGTATCCTAAACTTCACATACTGAGGCATCCAATT